AATGTGTTGGCCTTCTTCAGAACTTTGAAGAAGGGCAGGGATCTCTCAGCTGACCGGGAAAGGAACCGGCTGAGGGCCGCTAAACGACCGGTCAACTTTTGAACATCCCTAACGGAGGTAGGGGCTTGCATTTCAGTGATAGCCCGGATTTTTTCTGGGTTGGGCTCTATTCCTCTCTTGGTCACCATGAATCCCAAGAACTTCCCGGTACGAACCGCGAAGACGCATTTCTTAGGATTCAGCCGGAGGTTGTACCTTGCCATGATATCGAACGTGGCTCGCATATCAGCCGGGTGGTTCAGAGATACCTGGCTTTTGATCAGCATGTCGTCAACGTATGCCTCCATGGTCTTTCCCAGTAGTGGCTTGAAGAGTTTGTTCACCATGCGCTGGTAGGTTGCCCCCGAGTTCTTCAAGCCAAACGCCATTACCCGGTAGCAGTAGGTTCCTTCGGGTGTGAGGAATGACGTCTTCTCTTCATCTTCCTTGGCCATGTAGATTTGGTGGTAACCCTTGAAGGCATCCATGAAACTTAAGAGTTCGCACCCCGCAGTTTCGTCCACCATTTGATCTGGACTGGGAAGGGGGTATGAATCCATCGGAAAAGCCTTGTTCAAGTCCGTATAATCCACACACATTCTCCATGTGTCGCCCTTGGGAGCAAGGACAACGTTGGCCAACCAATCCGGGTATTTGACTTCCCGGATGTGACAAACACTGAGGAGGTCCTTCACTTCCTTCTTGACGAACTCTCGCCGGTCACTGGCCAGGTACCGCTTCTTCTGTCGTACCGGTCGACTTCCCTCCCTCACGGCCAACCGGTGGCAGATAACAGAGCGATCTATCCCGGGCATATCCGCCACGCTCCATGTGAATATGCCCGCGTATTCTTGGAGGACCCGTGTAATCTGCGCCTTGAGATCCTCGGGGAGATTTGCTCCAATTCTGAACATCCTCGAAGAATCACCCGGGTGAAGTTCGATTTCCACCGTCTCGGGCTCGGGCTCCAATTTCTCCTGGGTCTCTCCCTTTGTGATCTCTTGGCAGATGACATTGACCCCCTTGGTCATTCTCTTGACTGCCCGGGCATAGCACTCCCGGGCGTTCCTCTGGTCTCCCTTCACCTCACCCACACCACCTGGAGTGTGGAACTTCATGCATAGATGAGGCATGGAAATCACCGCCCCGACTCTACTGATGCCTGGCCTTCCAAGAATTGCGTTGTGGACGCATTTGATGTCCACAACCATGAACCGCATCTTCTTCCACACGGTCTTTTCACCTGATCCTAGTTCGACCGGTAGAACTATGGATCCTTCGGCTTCAACGGTGTCCCCCGTGAAGCCTGAGAGAGGGGTTTTGAGGGGTTCAAGTTGTGTTTGACACAACCTGAGTTTTTGGAAGGTCTCCAGGTATAAGATGTTGACACTGCTGCCGGTGTCAACAAGTACCCGGGCGACATCCACCCCATTAATGTCCATGGTGATGACCAATGGATCATTGTGATCTTCACCGGTAGGAGGGAGATCCCGGTCAGTAAAGACGATAGGCTCCCTCCTAGTATGTTTACGCCTGGGCGGTTCAGCACTTACCTCTCCAACGTAAATGCTCCGGACCCAGTTCTTCCGCTGCGCGGCTGAATCTCCACCCTCGGGTCCGCCGAAGATCATGCCGATGTG